CCTAGTGAACCTTACGTTTTCTTTCTTATGTCCAGCCAAATTTTCCTTGAATCTTACTAATGAAGAAAGAAAACCAAGTAATAATTAGATGTTGGTTAAAAACCTAATCACATCAAATCTAACCTTCCTACATTAAATCAAGGTAAGCTGTTAAATGTGTACGGAATAGCTTTTAAAGTACTCCTGCAGTTTAGTTTGTTCAAATGAAGTTTATAGCCGAAACCAATAAAAGTAGCTTTCCAAACACCATATTTTTTTTCTTTTTTGACAAAGATAATAGTTAAGTGTTAAGAGTTAAAAGTTAAGTTAATATCTTGCTCATGGTAAAACTCGATCATTGGTCATTGGTGCAATCCACCGGCAGCTTTTTTGGGCTGCAGTGGTCACCAATAAACCACAGAAGAATGCTTCCAAACACCATATTCGGTTGTTTAAGACCAACAAGTATTAACCATTCCCTAATGATCTGCAAGCTGTTTCAAAAGTTTGGCAATTTAGATATGGAATCAGTAGTTTCATTGCAACAATTACTCCTTTTAGTAATCCTTTTTTCTATCATGAATTCGTACAATAAAATGTAATTCTCTCTCGTTCATTCACTCACCCTACTTATATATTATATAACTTGAATTCAGAATCTTTTATTTTTATTTAAAAGAAATTACCTAACCTTCTCTCATCCATTTATTCACTCCATTTGTATAGCTTACAACTAAAATTTAAAGTATATCATTTTACTAAAAAATTATCATTAAATTATTTGCGTCGTTTGCAATAATCCCTATGATCTTAGCATTTATTTCTAGTACCTTCTTAGGATGAATGTCTTTTAGTGTTGAACCGACAACCCTTCTCCTATTAAAGAGAGTCATTGAACATCATTGAATGGGCAAAGGAACAACCTTTCAACAGCGGTTGTGCACTTGTCCAAAACACCAACCGTCCAAATTTAATTCTACTACTACCAAACTCAAAATTTCCCAACAAAACCCACATTAAAAGTGAGGCGAGGTTAAGCTGCTCAAAATAGCCTAAAAGAGAGAATTTCATTTTCAACACAGAGAGAAACTGAGTGAACAAACTTTACATGCTGTACACGTAAGAATAAATAATGGGTGACCACCAGAGGTGGCCGCCAGAAATTACAGGAACAGATGAATGCAGCATCATCACAACGAACTTAGTGTTAGATAAGAACTGGGGGAGATCTGGAGAACACTCTTGACCGTCCAAAGAAAAGAGAAAGAAATATGGGGGAGATAGATATCAATCCCACACAGGATGCAATTTGTGCATAATAAAGAAACAATGTTTCTAGAATGAAAACAATCCTATGTCTGTGAAAGTGATTTTCGCCACGAATTTAGCTAATGATCTTCTGTGCGGTTCTAAAATTTCCAGGGATCTGTCAATTGGTCACAGCTTCCATGGTGTTATGGGCTTATGGCTTTCCATTCCTGATGTTCCATTGCTCGAATTGTTTAGCAAGGACTAGATGGCCTTAATCTCTTAGGGCATTGATCCTGTAAGGACCTGTTCCAGAATCCATGACAGGGAAAATAGATGAGGAGGAGGAAGCAGAAATCATATAAACCATCTTGAAGTCATTGTCAGTGCACTGTTGTGCTAGTAGAACTGTAGAAGTTTCCAGATGCTAAAATAACTCCATTTTTTTTTTCTAGTGGTGGGAATTGAACAAAAATAGCTACTGAATACAATCCATACCTCAGACCTTGTTTCCATAATCAAAACCTCATCCTCAATCCTTATTCCCATTCCTCAGTACCTGCAATATATAAATCCCAAAGTCTGACTTACATCAAGAATCAACAAAATCTACATCTATGTCATATAACAGTCTATCTTAGTAGCAGACTAATAATTAGAAATTTCATTATGATATATAACATGATATAATAATAAACAATTAGGCAAATGAGTTCATTAACTTGATGAATACATGTAGGCATGCATGTTTAGATATGGAATATTGCAATTGTCATGGAATAGTAAGAGGAAGTTGGAAAAAAAAACCAGGATGGCCAATGTATCAAACAAACCATAGCCTCCTTTGCTTAAAACCAAAAACCAGCTATAGAGAATAGTTATAAAGAAGATCCCGAATGAAGAGATTATCTATGAGACTGTCATAATCAGCACTTCAAACTTCAATGCACACACAACCAAGCAGACACAAGATGTTAGTAAACATACTTTGGGGGGTATGGAGAGATCATTTTCAAGCATAAAGGAGAGATCATGCATCTCTGACAATATTGTATCTATGTCACCAGACTTTGCACCTGCAGTCGTGTTAGAAAAATCCACATCTTTTGAAACCTCTGCAATCTTATTCTCTCTTACACTTGCATCAGCCATCCTGAAACATTCAACAGCAACTCAAGGCCTTTTTTTTGTTTTTTTTTTTTTTTTTTTTTTTTCTTCTTTTTTGCACTTCATTATGAGCTCTATTTGCTCTATAAATTACTTTGATCTTTTCCATTACATTCTCACTTGCATTTCC